CTTAAAACACAATGATTTCTCAAAAATCAGTGCTATGTAGCCGTAAATATGACATTTTTAGTCTTTTGACTTTTTCACATTTTTCTCAGCCAAACAGTGACCAAATCGGAATAATATATGTATATTCGTGATTAGCTTTTCAAGCTCTATCAAACCATATATATATAAACGAAAAAAAAAATATTCACTGAAATTTTGCATTTTCGCTACCTTATCATATATGATACTCCCGTAGCCAACCGGTTAAAAGTGGAAAATGTTTCATCATATCGACACACACACACGTCTTCTGAAATCTATATGTATCTTCTTCGCTCTTCGACTAACATTACTTGTATAGTATAAGCCTAGCTGATGGTACTATAGGTATCTGTTAGGGTTTGACGTGTACAGCATCAAGTAAACGTTTATTTGAGTCTCTCCTCTTAAATCAGAAAAACTTCATATATATATATGTTGAAATGAAATAGACAGATGAGTGAGAGAGAGAGTAGGCGATACACACGCAAAGAGGAACAGTGAGAGACTACGAGATGTATAGGCAAAGAAGCACAAATGAGAGCATGTGTATGGGAGATGGAGATGTGTGGCGTTAGGCGAAATCTCCCTCACAGTGTCTTACTTAATTCCTCTCTTGATGTACCGGTACAATCGAATCAAGACTTTACTGTACGATACATATTAACCAGGAAAAGAGTACCGTTATATTCTCAACATGATGTACTCAATATCTTATGCATTATATAGCTTGCCATCGTATTCTCTATACTTAATCACTTCAAAAGCCTGCACTAGGCACTTCTCAGAGAAAAACTTCAGGTCGTTCGAAATTCCACCATACTGCAAAGCAAACTGAGTATGATTATGGCGGACATAAAATCAAAGTATTCGACGTTTTGCTGTTCTTTTAGCTTCGACAGTTGTCATTCTATCATCGGCATGGTTTTCTGAAACTTTCTCGGTACAGAGACATGGTTATGAAAAACGCATACAAGAAGGCAAACTTCCGACTATTTACATGTCGTTTTGTGGCCTCGGGGTTGCTGGACAATGTATATTAAAACTTTTTTATTCAGAGTTTGTCGCTCGTTACAGTTCGTTTGGTGCGAGAAATGCATGAATGTAAAAGAAATCACCTTTTCAGAGAATTTTGATGAAACTAAAAAATATTATATTTATTTCATATGAGGATTCGTCATTTTTCGTGAGAAGATAGAATTCGATGAGCTGAATAACTCCTATACGACGAGTAGTAGTCAATCTTTTATTGTAAAGATCCTATAAGATTTGCTAGTTTCTCTCTAGCTAACATAGCTGGGATGATCCGAGTTACTCCAAGTTGGTTTCCTCGGAAGAAATGGTGTTTTCAACAGCTGACATCGTGATGATCACTATGCTTCTGTAACTGATCAGTTAGCCTTGATATTCTCAGATCTCATAGAAGAGAACATGCGCCATCCAACGACACCATTTCTTAGATTAAAAACATGAGAAAAAATTGAAAGAAGTGGGGGAAATAAGTTACCGTCATTTCCTGCTGGAATGATCCGAATTCTCCAAACTCGAGTAATTCGGATCACCTGTAGAATCTCCTCAGTATGTTGATCAATACTTTTTTCGGGTAAGTGCTATCGAGGAGAACGTTTCGCCAATTGATAGAGCATGTTCTGTTCTAGCTATGATAAAAAAATAAGCTCTCTATCAAAGGTGGCAACGGAGAACGAATCGAAACATTTTCAATCACTGCCATTTTGGTCCAAATTACCCCAACTCACTCTATTTAGCAAAAACTGTACTTTTTCAAATCAGCTTTAACACAAAAACATATAGCACTTCAATAAGAGTCCTCACAAAACTCATGTGTGGAAATTAGTTAACTTTAACGATGTGACTGCTTCGCTGTGTTCTTTTTTCGCTGACATCATTGTCTCTGCCATTTCTTTGATGAACTCTGGCATACGCTGTCGTAAATCTCTACCAATCGTGTCCAACTTATCGGCCATTATTTTAGATTTACAAGCCATCTGGAAGGCACATTTACAGATGATATAATCACTGTTTTGCTGAACAGCATTCTTGAAAATATCGATAAATTCACCGAGCTTCCCACTTTCGGCAAGCTTTTCGAGTCCAGCTTTATTTTCGTCGGTAAAATCGTGAGCAATAAAATTCAGCAAACGAAGCGTATGCTGCTGATCCTGGTCAAGAAACTCCCACGCTTTTGGATTCTTCAGTAATTGCCATTTGTTATTTTTCATTATTGGAAATTTAACTGGGGCTCCAAAATGAACAGTTGTGACCCAACCACCATGACTATGCACATTTTTTTCTATATACCAAGGAACATTATCCAGTATTCCAGTAAAAGGCCGTGCAAGTGTAGCCATCTGCGCTGGTACATTATCACTTGTATCATTGCTCTGATGAATTGAAAACATTAGACCCTCTTCATCAAGAGCAGACCATATTTTGGCAATTGCTATTTGCAGTCCTTGTTCGATTGCTTTTAAATTATTCTTTTTTGGACCTAGTGCATCACGTACATGATAACCACTGTGCGACCAATGTACTATATCCGCCTGTTTTGGAAACGGTATGATCACGTCTACACCAGAATACAAATCGCATTCCACACCAACTGGATCATCGCAAAGCTTCAAAATATGGGCTACCGCTTTGATCTTACGCTTTGTGGCCTCTATGTAACATTCACCACTGTCTTTGCAAAAGCCTTCGGGAATATCGGTGCAGAAATAATTTATACCACCAGATACATATTTTGCGATCGAACATGTCCAGCTGGCACTGTAGTCTCCACGACCACAGCTAACATCAAGAATATTCGTAGGACTGGCATGTTTAATGCCTATGTTCTCCTCAGAAAAATACTTGAACGATTCGCGCAGTAAAATTGTCTGCATGTGTTTTTGACCGTTCATACTTGGAATTAGAAATGTTTCAAAACAGACATCATAATCACGTAGTTGATCGATGAACTTTTTCATATTCTACCTGGATAATAGGATTAATTACCACTATCTAGAAGAATAAAGCTTATTCACAAAAAATATCGGGTATTAGTAATTTAGTTTATCACCACAATCACTCAAAATTATAAGAACGCACATTGGTTGATCTCACACTAAACCCCAAGGCTCATCCGCTTTGTCAGTCTGATAAAGATCAAATCAGACTGTGACTGCATGAAGATCGCTAACTCATTCCAAAGTGATTCGCGAGGTTTTACTATTAAATAAATGCGGAAACTTCCGATTTTATCCGAAAGTTATGTGTACTACAAAAAGTGTATCAGCTGGAGCACAAAAGAAGTCATAGGAAAGTAGCGATAGATTTTCAATAACTAAGAAGTTACTCGTTCAAACAGTCTCACCTTCGAATTTTACCGAGATTCTAGTATGACAATACGCCATCGAAAATCTCATCACAATCAAATCATCCTACTACGAGTTCTAGTGTAGATCGACGGTATAGACACAGTAGTTTCTTTTAAATAGGCCCATGAATAAGTTCTTCCACTTTCAAATATTTATTCTTAGAACAAAAAACATTTTCCTAATCTTTCTCTATTAAATCTCTGAGTTAGTGTCGATGATGTTTTATAGCAAGCTTCCTCGTCTGAATTCATGTCTAGAACATCTTTAGGTGATCTAGAGTATACACTGATTTCATCTCTTTGGCTATTAACTTAGCTAAACTTGTA